ATTCTCCTTGTCAGTAATTCGTACAAGAAAGAGCACCGATGCATTCTCTTCCGGTTCCTGTTTTAAAATTATTTGATATTTTCGGGTGCAGATGCTAATACTGCACATAGCGTAACAGCAAAAAAAAACTGCACGCCTGCTTCCGTGTTCCTCTTTTAATATACGGTGTTTTAAATTTCACTGAACATTTAAATCGGCATGATGTCAATTTTTCATAAAACATATCAGTCCAATAAGGTTTCATTTTCTGATGAGTGCAATTAAAAGCACCGCTATAGCGGTAACGATGGACTGGAATGTAGAGATAAGTTGTTTTCCGCTGGAACGGAAAAACGCTCTGTTCGATCAAAACTAGTGTCGTTTCCATCGTATTTAGTCATACCTGTTCCGGCTTTCTGTTTTTCGACGAGAAATTTAATTTCGTTTCGACCTTGACACCAAATGTTGTAAAGAGAAAGACGTGTACATTCACTTTGATCCAGCTTTAACCGATCAATTAGCTCACTCCAAACAGAATCTTCCTGGCACGGCTTCGCATTCAGCCTCCATGTTTCTTTTTTCAATTTATCAGAGCGATCTCCGAGAGAAGTGATAGCAATAGCTAACTGCTCTGCAGTGATTCGTTCTCAAATCGACTTTTATTCGTTTTTGGAACGAAAATTCGCCATTTTTCACAAAGCTAAATAAAACTAAAGAATTTAGGATCACACAACTTTACCGTTAATCACGCACGAACAGTGAAATCAATAAATGTTCAGACAATAGTATCACTTTACAAACTCGATGACTTAATATGATATGACTAAATCCTAAACATGTTCTCCCTCTTAATCAATATACATACTACTACAACCAAGTTCTACTAAAACCGTTAGTTACTAACTAATGCATGTTTGACTATACCAATATTTTCATTCAAAATACCTTTTTTCGTTTAAACCGTACACTAATTTTCTTCACTCTTTAGGTCACAGCCAATGCCATGAACGTCAATGATGTTTTTGTCCTGGTGGTGGCTCTTAGAGCGGAGATCCTCGCTCTTAGAGCTGAGGTCGCCGCTCTTAGAGCGGAACTGACGCCGAGCCGCCCGGCAAACGACATAAGTCAGACCCTCCGTCACCATCTCCACCACCACCATCAGGTGTATTGAATGTATTTAGTTTGACATGAGCTTTATCATTAAATCCGTTAAATCGATTTGTAAGTATATCAATATCCGAATGATCCAACTCTTCAGAATCCTCATCAATAATTATTGTTTCATTCCGTGAAGATGTGACCGGTGTCATTACTTACTTATTTCAGTAAATGTTTTCTTTTTGCTTTTAGAAAATTATGGGGGAAATGGAGGCTCGTATAAATCAGCCCCTTGAGAGGTGTTTAACAAATGTTATTGATCAGTTTATAGGGGCAAATGGTGAATAATAAACATTTACAACCAATCGAAAATGGAATACAAAAATGTGAGTATGATATTAAAAATTAAGCAAATTGTATGCAAAGTCTATTTCTTGGAAGGATATTTCGAAGCTTTTTCTTCTCTCTATTTTTAGTGTACAACAAATTCTGTAAGATTGAAAAACAACTGATCAAGTATGTACCATGATGCTCTTTTCTTTGCTCAAATAATACTGATAAGAAGATACATGAGATAACTTTTTGTACACGGAAAATCGGATTTTTGGCTAAAGAGAGCTTTTCTTTGGTCGTGGGTAATTTTCCGCCTCCGCCTTCGTCACTTAGTAATTTTCCGCCGATAGAAATTCCGCCGGAACTTTAGTAAATTTCCGCCTCCGCCCAAAATATGAAAATGTATATATACATATATATATATATACATATATATATATATACATATATATATATATACATATATATATGTATACATATATATATATATACATGCGTATTAGCAAAAACAACTGCGAGATTTTCGGAAAATGAACAGATATCTTACGAAACTCTATAATGTGCTTCGATATCGGAAACCACAAAGGAATATTGAAAAATGGATGAAAAAGAGAGATATGTTATAAGTATGGGTGCACAGAAGAAGAGAAATGATATATCATTGGCGAATACATGTGCGCAGAGCGGCAGGTTCTTGTTGTCCAAAAGTTTGTGGTATTATTTTGTAATAGGCATGTATATGTATATGTCTATTATTTTAATAGACATATACACGTTCTAATCTTCTAGCTTCTTTAGGTACAATAACTTTTTATACTTTCTTATACTTTTTATACTTCTTACACTTTTTATACTGCCTGCTCAAGAAGCATATGATAATAAGTTTGTAAAATGTCATCAACAACACTTGGTCTTATTAAAAAAAATCTTCAAAAAGAAATTAGTTATGATGATGCCTACACATTATTACGAGAAGCAGATCCGGTAAATGCTATCAATACTTTGCCAATGTGTCCTGACGGTGGTACATTGTGGTTATTTCCCGATAATGGTGATTCTAAACAAGCGAAAGATTACGTTTATGACGGGTATCTGATGCCTCTGGATAAACGACGAACCTATCCACCACATGAGCCATATATTGAACATGAACGATATTTTGCTTATACAAAAGACAAAAAACGAGACAATAGATTTAAGAAAATTGTTTTTCAGTTACATAAAGATTGCACAGTCGTTGAAGAAGCATTAGTTAATGGTCACACACATCGAATTCCGCTGTTATCATTAGTATTCTGTCTTGGAAACACAAAACTACCACTTCGTGCACCTAATAATAAAAATAATAAAAAACACTTTATCAATTACTCTCGGTCAAAATCAAGCACAATTATATCTGCAAAAACGTTATTAGCGTGAATATTAGAGGATCGAGTTTAAAAAAGGAAAACCCATTGTTAATCTAACAGTTCAAATCTTAACCAGTGTTTTCATAATAAATATTTAAATAAATGTATTCATAATAATTTCCCTTCTCTCTCGTGTACAGGGTGCGTAAAAATGTTTTTCTAGGGGGGTAACGCTATAATTGTGAATAGGGTAAGTAATGAATTTTATACCAGATGAAAGCCCGTCGAAAACGGGATTTATTGATGCTAAATAGTAAGTTTTATCAAAGCATTTTAGTGTCGAACTTAAGAAAGTTTTAGAAATTGTACA